TTTCGGATTTTATTTACATTCTTTACTACTGATTTCCAACCAGAGTTTGGAGAGCGCGAAGTGGACATTTTGAGTTTTCGTATGACTTGTTCGCAAAAAAAAAGTTCGGATCATATGTTTATGTTTTTAGCCAATCACCGATCAACTATTAATATGATGAAATAGTTTATCAAACTATCTATTAAAGACGTGTTAATGATGGAATCTATAATGGAGTAGTTAGATATCCCTGCCATTCACTCAGTTTAAGTTCTGCTTCGATGATGGCAAAAATTTTCACGTAGTGTGAGAAGGCATGTTTTATCAGCGAAGCCGTGCACTCCCATGCATTCATGTAACAGTTGATTATGCAGTGCTTAGATTATGAGTTATAAGTATTCTATCGGGTATAGGAAGCTTCGATGATGTACTTATGTATAGTCGTGATCATTTTTTTTTCTTGGCATTTTTCTTGGACCGCGCGGTCTCGCAAATTTTAACCACGTGAATTTAACCCGCCTTTTCGTAGTACCTGCTCAAAGCCAGATCATAGAAGGTTACTCTGCCTGTTAACAATTACCCGCTGACGACGCAAACATAAATTTATCGTCTGGCTTCGAGTGATGAAGTCACGAGAAGGCGGGTTATTCCAAAATCTGATTCGATTCCTTCCAAAATTATGATATTCTTCATTTCTATTTCTACGCTCATCGATGAGGATACGTATTTGAGTATCGGTCCATTCAACCATTTTTATGATATTGATCCCGACAAGCCGAAAGGCACCACTATGTGGCATGAATAGAATGAATAGAATGCGAGAAGTTGGGATTTTGTTGCTTTTATAGCGGAGCTAGTGTCTATGACACATAAGTGTATCTTAAGTATTTTAACAGTACTTCAGCAGTACTTTAACCATACTTTAACCATATATCCGTGATTATATTAAGATATATGTGCTTGGTACTGTATAATTTATTGCTTTTCCAACCACACTTCAACATTGTTTCAACCATGTTTTAACGGTATAAATCTATGGACGTTCATTTACTTTTTTCACGTAAAAGTAGTATAATTAACCGAATACGTATGCCTCGGATTTGCATATTTCGGATTTGTCTATCTCGGACCGGGCGATCTCAAATGGTGGGTGTCGTACATTCCTATAGCTGGAAAATTAAAAAATATGCTTGTAATACACCTGAAAAATAAATAAAACATCCAAATAGATTATGCAACGATTATCCACACACCCGAAATAGATTTTACGTGTCAAACATAGATCGTAATATATACATGAGCGATTTATACATAAATATGGATCTCTCCCATTATCATCATATATGTCACTCGCAAATATGACGAATATGCGGAGCATAGAGTCTATGACTCATATACACAACTCATCTAATAACCCAGGCCCTATAGGGCGCTCTTCAAGTATCTGTACTAAAATTGAATCATATTATTCTAGAGTATATAGATCCAAATCCTTAAATCCGATATAATCGCTTAATCACTTAATCTCATATAATTAATAAATCACTCATAAAATGGTTGATTTTAGTTGTTTAGTAGCTCATCAGGGTTCTAATTGTTTGGATGAAGAATGGGCTGAATATTGTGTGATGCCACAAGTTCATGATAATGAAACTCCCAGTGAGTGGATGAAACGGATTTGGTGACGTCTTACATATTTTAAAGAAAATGATCTCTTACCTTATAATAGCAAAAAATATCTTGAAGCTAGAAAGTTAAAAGAATATTGGAGTGATCTTAATGGGCAGAGCCTAGACTCTTTGAATCATAAATTTTATACAAGTTATGCATCTGAAATTGGTATTGCAATATGTTTCTCTTGCAATCAATTAATATATACAGGAAAACGAACCAAAAATATAGGTAATTATAATCATATAGGAATGGAGAGGCATTGGGCTTCTCATTGTACTGGAAATTCCTTTTGTGATATAAGTTATGAAGAATATATGAAAATTAAGCAAAAATCCAATTCGGAACATAGTTATAATAATGAGTATGCATTACACCGTTATGAATTGTGGATGCAGAATGCTATCAGAAAAGTTAAATGTGCAAGAGAAATCGGTAAGAAAATTCAAGCATGTACAATAATACAGCGTAAATTCATTAAATATATGTATAAACCCTATGGTCTCTGTGCTTCAGAATTAGCATTACATTATCAACTATTATGGGCAGTTCGAGAAGAAATGCGACAAGTTAACAATGTATAGTCTTGCAATATACACATATCTACTTATTATATGACTTTTTATATGACTTATTCGTATATCTATCTATCTATTTAAAATAAACCACCTAAAATATTACTGAGAGTTAATACTTTAAATTTTTATTCACTGTTATTTCATGATGATTAATAGCTATTTTTTCTTAATTTTCTATATCAACCCATCTTTATCTGACACAAAAATCCCCAGTGTAGAAAACAGATCCTACTTGTTATCACTACACATCCACCTCAATTTCAATCACAGCTGAAACGGACAGCTTCTTAATAGAAGTGGCGAGTAGGATGTATGTATATTAATGTATTAATAAATAACGAGAGAAAAAAAATGTCTGTTTACCATACATTCACCTCAATTTTATTCATCTAATTTCAGAGGAGTGTCCCAACCAAGTCTAACTGCTAAAGGATCGTCTACCACCTTAGTAAAATCAAAAATCACGAATTCACGATCCCGCAAATACTTATCAATAATCTTGAATGCCTTTTTTGAATCATCTGTATATTGACATATGATTCTACTATTATCGTCTCTACTACCCGAACCCCGAAATAGGCATAAATGCGAAATATTTTCACGAATAATTTTTGGTGTTTGTGTATATTTCTGGCTTACATATATAGGTGAGACATTTTGATGCCGGCCACTAATAAAGTAAGGAATAATTCGTTCTTGCACTTTTTTGGGTTCGGCACATAGATCCTCAAAAACAATAACTGTGCTTCGTTCCGGAGAGAATTTAATTATATCTGGAATCTTATCTGGTAATATCCATTTAAATGTAACGTCTTCTCAATATAGTTTTGGAGCATTTGCAAAGATTTGATAGCTATTTTGTACAAGTTGCCATTTTGGTTCAAAATGTTTGGCTACTAATTTGAGATCATCATTTCTAATATACTGATCATCTTTTTTTCCATTGAACATGCATTGTAGTTTGTTACCAAGCATAAGATTTATCTCCATGTTAGTTTTTCCGCTATTAGAGCTTCCATTTACAAGCATCCTAAATGGGCAGTCTGGCGAATATTTATTACCCTTCATTCGTTCTGATGACTTTTTAGATGTCTCATTGATATTATATACATATATGGGCATACCTTTATCTTTCATTTTAACCAAGATATGCAATATTTACTATTTATATGATAAATAACCTCTCTTTTGTAATTTGCTTTTTATATAGGGAAATAAATCACAATAGAATGGGATACAAATAAGATCTATACCTCACTTTTTGCATATATCTCGCTTTTTTTGATCGCGCTTCCTTTGATTTATATAATCAACCTTACCATTGGAGTGAAAGTGTTTTGGAATAATACGAAAATGTTGTATCCCATTAAATTCATATGCCAATTTTAGTTCTTCATTATACCCGTCTAATTGCATTCCATTCAAAAATGACGGTTTACAAGGTAGAAATTTCTTACCTAGCAGATCTTTGAAAATATATCGAGCGGATCTCTTGTCTTTAAAATGTGGGCAAAGTGGGCACTATTCGAATTTCCACTTCTGGGTTTTATAAGGTGTTTCCCATTGATGTTTTCCGTTTTCACAGGACCAAAGATATACATCGAATCCATTTATATAATCAGTTTTACTAAGACATTTTCCGCCACGCTTTTCAGCAAATTGTTGAGCCTTGGCCATTTTATTAACAACGCGAATGAAATTAACAGACCTGGAACAAGTATTTTCTTCCAATATACTCTGGGGAGAATACTGAAGTGTATCAATATTCACGTATAAAAGTTCATCTCTCACAAATCCACGCTTTGAAGCATATTCATCATCATCATCTCCAAGATAATATAAAACCGGTTCATTTTTTGTTATTACAATTTTCTGAATTTTATGTAAAGAGGGGCTGAAAATTTCATCAGTTGCACGTCTCTAATTCTCCATACCACCTTCCTATTCGGCATTAGCAAGCAGATAACGAACGGAGTCTCCTTTCTTTAACCTATTCTCTTCATTTTTCCCAACAGGACATTTATATTTCATGGATGGCCGGGATTCTACTTGTTCTAACTTAATTGCTTTTATAGGTACTAATCTCTATTTCTTTGAACCTGGAGCTCGAATGAGACGTGTTGGGTAATTATTTAAATATTCAAAAACTTTTGGTAAATACTTAACCCATGTTCTTATTAATTTAGAATCTGAAGATATACTTTCGATGGCAGATTGTATCTTGTACAACATTTCGGCTAAAGTTTTATTGAAGCGTTCTACAAGAGCTAATCCACGATGACTATAAGCACCAATTACTCGAATTGTGACATTATGCGTTTCCATTAATCGAGCAGTTTCACCTATGAATTCTTTGCCACCGTCACATTGTAGAAGTGTCGGATACATAAGAGGGTTATTGGGATTATTATAAATCTTCTTAAATGCTTTAGCAACTTCAGAACTTTTCTTTGATGTTAAAGGAACAGTCGCTTTGAACCTGCTAGATATGTCTATAATCTGTAATACTGCTTTTCATGTCTTCCTCTTATATTTATCATGCGTAAGAAATAAAAGGTCGCATTGATGTATACAATTTGGTTTTTGAATTTTACCATAACTAACTCGTGAAATATCTTTTGGTGATGGAGCATATTTTTGCCATTCATTCTGGTTACACAATTATTCCCGAACTTTTTTATATGGAAAATTATAACCTTTCTTCTTGAAATCTTTATATAATTTTTGAGCATTGGGATGGTAACCAGTAGGTTGATAAAAAAACAATTTACATATTAAGTTTAATTCTTCATATGGATCGATTTTAATAATGGGTTTGCTCAATTTACTCATCTTCGATATTACTTATTATATTATAAACTAGAATAAATTTCGATGACCTCTCTTGAAGCACAAATTCGAAAATTGAAATATAAATTGTCTCAGGCCGAGGATTATATTTTATTTCTTGAAAAACAGATTACTGGTCTGAATAATGAAATTGAAATTTTTAAATCAGAAAATGCAAATCTTAAGAAATGCCTCGAATGAGCATTATAAGATATTGGGTGTAAGGATAAAAATAATATTTTTCTTGAGTCACAATTACTAGAAATGAGTAATGAAATATCTTCACTTCAACATAGAATCCAACAATTACGCCAAAATATTCGAATGTCAAGTAATATAGTCAGTGGTTCTGAAACAATTCCCATATTATTGATTAAGGTCCAAGATAATTTCAAATATTTAGCTGATTGTTATAGAGGAAATGGTGACCCATTACTTTCTGATGAAATTGATAATCTTCAAACACAAACCGAATTGAGAATAGCTCAAATCGAAAATAAATATAACTATGAAATTAGTTGCCTAAGAGAAGGTATTATTGAAGAAAATGAAACCCATCTATTTGTTCAACAACAAACTATAAATGAGCAAGTAGATATAATCCGAAATC